AGAGGTCGAAATATGCATTTTTTTCCAGTCTGATACCGATCATTTTGACATTAGTTTAACCCAGGATTCATCGGCGGGGTGCCTGCAGGCACCAAGGGGCCCTCAAGGAGCACACAAGGTGCTCTCAGTGTCTTCTGAAAACAACACAAGTATGAAATTTTATTTCATTCTGTTGCTCTTCCTGCACTTGCATTTTTGAAATTTCAAAATTACAATATGTAGAAGAAAATTAGTAATTAAAAGAAACATATTATGCATGACTTTTAGGTGAACGCCGACTCCTCCAGTTCTGAGGTCAGTATCAGCTGCACTTCCAGTAGATCTCAGCCTAAAAAAGGTTGGTGACCCCTGGTATAACCGTCCCCAATATGTGCTGCCGTTATTTTTGTGCCGATTCTTAGAGTCCATAATGCCTTTTCTTCCTCTATTTACATGGTGTAATGATGCAGTGATAATGAATGTTTCTTAAGTCTTAATTTAAACAAAAAATATACTTTTTTTTTTTTTTTTTTTACAAAAAATTAAAAATAAAAAGCAAATGTAGGGAGTGGGAATGCATGCCCTTCATTTGATCTCATGGCATGGCTACTGAATGCAGTAATGAATCTGCAAATTCCAATACAATACATAAAAATGTTCATATGGGCCGGATGATGATTCTCTCTTATAACCTTGCAGTGAAAGTCATTGTAAAAAGCTTTCAGTAAAAAGTACAAATAAAGATCCATCATTATCAAGTTGAGGTAAAATCAGAGGCACTGAAGTAAAGTTTTACATACTCTGCAAAATAACTTGGTATTGACTGAGGCCTAAACTTTGTTAAATATAATTTGATCCGCATGTGTTTTAGTAATTTCTTCTTGGCCAATCTCCAATACATTAGAGAAGAAGACAGTATTATTATACATATCCGAAAAGTAGGGGGATATTTCTTGCAGATAAATGATGCCTAAATGAGTCTGAAACTCAAGGAGAGCTCATGTTGTTCTGCCTGAGTTTGGTTACAAGGTTTTTTCAGTAAAGATGTTTTCCCAGTTCAGCAGCTGTCAAAACATGATGTAAAGCTTCATTACTTTATTTCTTACTGTATGTATATTTTTAGCACATGCTGACATACCTTGGTGACAGTCGCAGTAAGCCCAGCCGATAGCTCCTGAGTTTTGCCGAAAGAAGCACCAGGGATTGGACTCACGGTCCGGGTTCCTGCAGTAGCTGTGGTCTCCCAGCCCGCGGCCCGGGTACTGCATGACATAGTCTGGAAACTCTGTCCACTTCAGACACGGGGCGCCCGAGTCTGTCTGGGACACGGTGCCGTTGTAGTATCCCAACTCAGTAAATCCCTCAGAGCAGGACAGAGGGACTGCCCAGGGAGGAAGAAGAGCAGATAAGGGTAAATATTGAGGAAGAGCAAAGAAGAAAGATGTTCTGGATGAAGTGAGGAGGATTTAGGTCAGCGAGGAGGACAGTGTGAATAAGAAAGATGAGTTCCACTCATCTTCAAATCACATTATCCCCATGTCTGTATTTCATCAGAACATAAAAGCCAGCATGGATGATTCTCTGTCCAGTCCCTCAGCAGGATCCTGCCTGGGGTATTTAACCATACAGATCCACGCTGGGCACAATCAAACCCGCCTTAATTTAACACCAGCTACTTCCGGTAATCTCCTCTGAGAAAGAAATATACAACAGTGAAGCTTAGAGACATGAAGAAGCGAAATTGCTGACATCAAAGTGTAGTAGAATTAGGCCACAAGATGCAGAGCATTCAGCGAGCTTTAGCTAATTAAGAACGGCAGCAGGCCTAATGAAAGGGTTGAAAGCAAACCTAGAGCAGAGCTTAAAACTAGGAGAGGGATAAGCCTGAAACTATAAACCTGGAAAGGTTTATAGATCATTAAAGGACATATAACCAGGTTCACTGTTTTATTTTGCACATCAGGACTTTGATTCCATTTAAAGCCTTTTAGGTCTCAAGATCAGAGAAGATAAACTGGCCCTCTAAGTTTTATCAAACTTTAAAAGAGAATTTAAAAAATACAATTTCTTTGCTCAAGGCATAACATTATGACCACTCAAAGGTGAAGAGAACGCTGATTATCTCTTCATCATGCTGCACGTTACCAGGCTGCATATATTCAGCAGGTAATTAACATTTTATATTTAAAGTTGAAGTAATTTGATCAAAACCTCACTCAAAAGGGTGACCTGTTGATAGAAACAAAGGAATTTGCATTATTTGTAAAGCTATTAGTACTAGTAAAACTATAAGTTCCAGAATCTATTAAAAAATATGTCCTTTTTAGTCAAACGACAGCACAAATAAAACAGCTGCACAGTCTATGTGTATCTGTCAACAGATTTTAGTTTGTTTTGTGGTCACATGCCATCTCCAGGAATTTTAAAGAGTCAGTCCAATCAAATCACACAAACTGACTGACTAAAAAAGTTTTGGATTCAAGGAGATCAAACAGATTGCATTGAATCATTGACTGTGCAAAATTCACTCCTTCTGGATGAGCCAATAGTTGCAGGGGATGGTTGTTTGCATTTTGTGGTTATTTTGCAGGAATCCTTCATGCTGAACAGGCTTTTTTATCTACTTTGAATGGATCTTAGGAAATATCTTCCTATTTCTGTATTTCTTTGAGATAAGCCAAAAAAGATTGTTGTGTTTTTATCAGTCTTCTAACAGGGATATACCACAAATCATTTCCATTAGATTTTATTTCTACAGATAAATCTGTTTAATAACCTGATGGATTATATTGCGTTTGTAGATACTTTGTGATATTCATTCTAGGTTGTTTTTTATCTATGAGCATTTAATTTGCAGTTCTGTTTAGTTATGGCATCATAGAGAAAATATATATTTAGTTTTTCTTTTTTTACATTTCCTTAAGAGAAACTGAAATAATGATAAAAAAAATGGAATGGCAGTATCTGATAGGTGCATCTCGTCTAATTTTATGTACTGTATATAAATGCCAGTGGATGCTCCCTGTGTTTAGATTTCATTTACATGCAAACATCTTCTCAAAACAGGTTTAAATTCAAACGGAAAAGTCCTTACAGCCAGTATCTGGATTTTTACAAAAATAGGATGAAAAGTGTTACAATTTGTGCATCAGGAAATGGCCAATTTGCCTCCTAAAGTATCTCAAAAGCAGCTTATAAAGCATATCTTTTTAATACATTCATTGATAGAAAAGTATCGTTAACAAAAGGAAATATAAAGTCATAACCTGGACGATAATGATGCATTTTTGTGTTTTCAAACCTTGGGGCTTCGAGGGGATTTTTTTCTTTCACTTTGGTTTGCTTTTTCTTTCATTTCACCAGGATTTTATAAAAAAATACATACACATATTCTGCATCCATCCCTTTCGATCTTAAGATCTAAAACTTCATGGTCTTGCATTTTATTCTCCTTCTTTCGTGTTGTACCCTTGAAGAACGTTGGTTCTTCTTCCACCTTAAAGCTTTCAGAGTGGAATTTGGAGGCCAAACAATAATTGAACTACGATTAATAGTGGAGATGTTCCAGCATTAGTGCAACAACCTTATCTCAGCAACACACACAGCTTGGCTATCTAGGAGCTCTATCACTAAAGCCCACCAAACTGTGACACATTCACACACACAAACCCTAAAGGTTTTGACTGAATGCAAAAACCACAAACACAGGCTGTTATGGTTTGAATAAAGAAAACAAAGATATGTGTAAGAGTCAAAACATGTCAGAATGATATTTAGGACTGAAATGATCAATCCGTTGAAATAACTGCCAACTAATTTGTTAATATTTTTCTTACTATTTTTCTTCTTTTTCCTTGATATTTTTTAATAGGGGCAAATTTAAACAATTGAATAGATATGGATCCACTGCTGGATGTTTAGTGATATAAATCACAAGTTTTCATGTAACGGGTGTCACAAAGAAACCTATTTTGAAAAGTGTATATTTTTCAAGATTAGTATTTGTGATTGTGGGTCTATGATTGCTGTGGCATGCAGGTACAACCACATAGTCACCTAGTATGAGGTTCCGTTTGTGTCAACAATAAGCAGATATAAAATGTCTAGATGTTGTGCTGTTGTTGCATATGTGTTGTCTGCATATATATAAGTTGCAAATGTATTTGTTGAATATGTAGATTCTGCATATGTCTATGTTGCATATGTCTATGCTGTATAAGTCTATGTTGCATATGTCTATGTTGCATATGTAGATGCTGCATATGTCTATTCTGCATATGTCTATGTTGCATATGTCTATGTTGCATATGTAGANTGCATATGTCTATGTTGCATATGTAGATGCTGCATATGTCTAAGCTGCATATGTCTATGTTGCATATGTAGATGCTGCATATGTCTAAGCTGCATATGTCTATGTTGCATTTGTAGATGCTGCATATGTCTATGTTGAATACTTCTATTCTGCATATGTCTATGTTGCATATGTAGATGCTACATATGTCTAAGCTGCATATGTCTATGTTGCATTTGTAGATGCTGCATATGTCTATAGTGTATATGTCGATGTTGCATATGCCTACTTTGCATGTCTATGTTGAATATTTCTATTCTGTATATGTCTATATTGCATATGTCTATGTTGCATATGTAGATGCTGCATATGTCTATGTTGCATATGTCTATGTTGCATATGTAGACATTTTACATCTGCTTATTTATGATACAAACGGAACCTCATATACACACACTATAAAACATAACAATTTGTTGAAAAAAAAAATATATACTGTTCTTTTACGTCTTCTCCATTTAAAATACACAACAAAAATGTAAAAATGAAAAAAATGTTATATCAATCAATAGCTAAAATATACCTTGACCCTAATTCTACTTAACAAAAACTAAACACTACACATGTCGATGATTAACACAATGGGTCTATAGTAAAACTTAAAAAGCCTTGAACCTCAGAGAGCTCAACATGAAAAATATGTGCCTATCCCTTTAAGAGGTGTGGTGCAGGAAACAGAAAGTAAACCAGGGTGAATTCTTCTCTTTGCAGCCTGACTTTAAACTGCACGCGTTTATGCTGTAGATCTCCTATAACAACTAAGCTCCTTGTTTTGTTTTCTAGTTTAGTTTTTAGGTTGTTGTAAGGGTGGTTACACGGCTGTAAACACTTCTGTCTTGCAGACCAGACAACCATTAAAGGAGGTGAGTAAGAACACGTCATTTTTATCAGATGGAGCGGTGGCTGAGGCTCAGGCGGTTTGATCACATAAAATACCTGGTGGAGTTTTCTCCTGGGGGAGGGGCTAAAAAAATATCTTACAAAATAGACATACACCAAAAACCAATCAAATATGCTAAGTTATCACACCAATATATTTATGAATGCCAACAGCATAAAAACATTTATAATTTCATGCACATGTACATAAATGTTGTCCTTCTGAGGCTTTGTAAAAGCCAATCTGTGTTTTGCATGGTCCAATGTTGTTTCACAAACCTAAAAATATAATGCACCAGTTGGAGAAGCTATAAGTCAGATTTATTTTTTTTAATTAATATATCAAAACTATTTATTTTCTAAGAATGTGTTTATTTAAGAGCAATTATGCAGATTAACAAACATCCCAAAAAAAGTGCACTATATTATATTATTTTCCATGTGAATCCCAGATTGTTTATGTTGTTTTTGTTTTTTTAGTGCTTTAAGTCACTACTACCTGTCTTTATCCATGCTGGGTCACATCCTGAAATTTGAAAAAGGATGCAAGGAAAGCAGGATACAGCATTAGCCTCGCTGCATGCAGTTAGCCAAGCCTCGCAGCTAAACCAGGTCATTGAAAAAGTCCGAGTGGACCGTCTCCATCTGACTGCTGATTAATTTCAATATTTCGGCTGATCAGGTCCAAACAGTTTCGTGGGAATATGTCACTAATCCGTTGAAATATGAAAACAGCTTTACTCGTCATTAAAGACAAAATATTTATCTTGTACATAAAAAAAATATGTATCAATATATTTTCAAATGTTTTAATTTTAATTTGTTTTTTGTTTTATATGTCTTAATCAAAGTAATTGGGTGGGTGGGTCGGCGCCCTAGCTCCCTCTGTTGGCCAGCCGCCACTGTATACAACCTGTATGGTGACGGGTGGCGAATTGACCAAGAGGGAACTCCATGCGCTACTAGACAGAGTACAAGTGTTGGTTTACAGCAGCACCGCATGGAGAGAGAAGAGCAGTAATCTCTGAAGTTGAAATGAGCTGAACTTTTCTATGAAATCGAGACACGGCAGCCAATCAGGGACTGGCAGGAGGCAAAGATATTTTTCACTTAAAATGGAATACTGATATAATATTTTTTTAAAAGGGTAGAAATAAGGAACGCTCTTAAAGGGTCTTTAAGTGGCTTTAAAAATTTCTTTTTTGTTTAGTCCTAGAAGGACTGTTAATCATCCTCACTTACCTCCAGCACAGAGTCCTATCTGTCACTGCCCAGTATTGGTGCTTTCACCAAGAAAGTCCCGCCGAATCCGACCGAATCAGAGCTGCGTCTGAAGTAGCCAGAGTGGATTTTTTATTTTATTTTTTTTTTGTTACAGAGCGTTTGGGGCTTTTCTAAAACATGATGGTCTCCCCCAAGACGATTCAAAAGTTGTTCATTGAGAACTATTTAGCAGTAGTCCATGATAAGTTTCACCTTTGCTTTTACTGTGAAACGCTGACGATGAGACCTTGACAGAAAATTATATGGGGTTGCCAGGGGTAACGGTAGGTCCAAAGCAGAGGATCTGGGAGGCTGTTAATTTACTAAATATTAAACAATCATTCCAGCTACTAAACATGGTAAACATACCACTGTTAGATTCAATACCAGCACAGGAATGACATGTGATGTTATGCAATAACTTAATATCAGGAACGAGCACAGCACTAGCCTCTGCTTTGATGGCGATGTCATTGGTCATAATTAAAAATAAATTATATCTTAAAAACCAAATCAGTAGAAAAACGGCATGTTTACCTGCACAAATAGAGTAGCATGAAAAAAGTAGGCTAGATAATTTTGATTAAATGCAGAACTTAATTGGGATGTAGATGACCTCTAGGTGACCTTAAAAATCATTTGTCTTTTTTTTTTTTTTTTTACAAATTAGCTTTTTAAATGCACAAACCTGCATTGCATGAGCAATAACCATTCAGTCTATTTGCTGAGTTTTTTTGTTTTTTTTTTCACGTCAGTGGGGTTTCAGCTTTACGCAGCTGAAGCTCCTCCTATTTGATGACGCGATCCAGAGAATAAACCCTGTGCATCTGAAATGCAGAGCGGTGAATTACATACTGGGCTCGTGGAAATCACTGCGTCATCGACACTTGACTGAAATGTTTTGTAAACAAACACCTATAATTCACCTTTTTTCTTTCTTTTTCCTGCAGCTGGACTTTTCAAAGTCAAGACTTCACTGAAAAGTGAGATGAAATTCTTAGTTACATGTCGTAAATCCACTCTCAATTGTTTGCAGTTTTTCATGTTTAGTTTATATTGTTAACATAAAAGATGTTGATGTGAACTTCTTGAGCTGGGATTTACAGGATCCCGTGATTTTAACCATTAGACTAATTGCATAAAGAAAAAGGATCTTGTTTTGTATTTTTAATGAATCGTGTTCTTTTTTATCTGAGAGAATAGATGTACATATATTCTGTACTGGCCTCTATTTTGAAATTGATATTTTTTATTATTCCTGCACTCTTTACAGCAATCCTTTTATACCTTTTTCTCCTTTTCAGTCCAGTGATGCACCATTTAATGACCATTTGCTACTTGGTTTGGTTTAAAGACACAAACATTCCCACACGTTGTTATGATGCATCATTAAAATTCTATTTATTTTATACGGATGGTATGTAACAGACTGAGATAAAGTTAAGCTAAAAGGAAAGCTGGACCTCCACATCAGTCTCAAGTCCTTTTTTAAGAGATTTTCTTTCAGAATTTCCCTGCATTTACCTCCGACCATCTTCCCATCAACTCCAGCCATATCGTCTGTCTAGAAAGTGCTTTTTGGAGGCTTTGATTTGAATCTGTCTGCAGATTACAGACTAGTTTCACCAGCCAATGATAAACCAGCTAATATTAGTATGTTGACTTTATTTTTTAAGAACTTTGCACAAGATATCGAAACATATTTGTAACCTCAGCAGGTATTTATTCTACATGCATCCATCAATTTAATGTCACAGGTGGCAGTAAAACAGGACATCATAAATTAGATATAAAGTATTAAGTCAGCTAGTTTGAATTGAAAATAATTTTCATTTTGCTTTTGGATTGAGACTGTTCTTATTTTTTAGTTTTGCGAATTTTTCAGGACCTTCTTTTTTTTTAAACCCTCCTTTTGGATAAAAAATAAACAGTAGAAATCTGTATTTAAATAAAGAAAATCAGGATAATGTTGCCCTTCCTCTATTCTTTGGTGAATTACAAACATTTACCTCTACCAAGTAGCCAGAAAAATATTTGCTTTCTCGTGTTAAAACCTCTATTTGAAAAATATTTTTTCAAATATTATCCTGACACCAATATTAAGCATGACTGACCTATTGTAATATTAAACACTAAGGATTAGAATAAAGTGTTCAGGGTTAAGAAGTGTTTGTTGTTTTAAGTACAACCATTTTTTTTTTATTTTAAATTTTTTTTTTTTTAAGATACATTTTGTACATTTTTACAAAAAATATCTTTTAATAGCCTTTTTGTTTAACTGTTTATGACTAAAACGTGAGCAGACTGACGCCTCAGTAGTTCAGCATCAATGCATCTATAAACCTGTTGCCTATTTTCTTTAATTTACTTCTGGTTGAAAGCTCCTGCTCTGTTTCTGCGGATGGGACATCAAACACATCTATGTTTAATGGGTCCAATGTAACAACTGAAGCGTTACTTTGCGGATACTCAGAAACTCAACTGAGAAACCATCTCAAATCCATGTAAATTGGAAAAAAAAACAAAGAGTCTTGTAGCGTACGAGCATGAGTTAATTAAAAAAACCAAAAACAGAAGGGTGCTGTAGTTCTGTGTTTTGGCCACAGGTGGCAGTATAGTTAGAAAACTCCGTTGTACATCTTTAATATATGTTTCTATTGTTTTAACTGGGTTTTTTTGTGAGTTGTTATAGATTTTAATGATTACATTGGTTTATAATATCAAATTGATCGCAGACTTGCTAACTGAATTTAATTGATGTTGCATCGTGACATTTTTTCATGGTTTTGTCATCCAAACATCCCCATATTCATGCAGAGATAGGTCAGTTTACCCTTCATCAACATAGTTCAAAAACTACAACAAAACAGAAGGTTAAAATATAATTTTCCTAACATGACTCCAACTAACATTAATTATAATGTTTATGTAACTGTTATTTTTTTTCTTTTGGTTTTAGAAATGGCATCCAGTGGAAGTCTAATAACGGAGGAACATTTACTTTGTCCGATCTGTCTCGACGTCTTCAGTAAACCAGTTTCAACACCATGTGGACACAACTTCTGTATGTCGTGTATAACGGTCTACTGGGACACCACACCCGCCTGCCTCTGTCCCGTTTGCAAGGAAGAATTTCCGAGCAGGCCAAACCTCAAGGTCAATACCTTCATTGCCGAACTGTTATTACAGTTTAAGTGCCTTCGTGTGACAAACACTCCCACCCAGAGTTCATCCGGTCAGCAGCCGGTCAGCCCTGGCAGTGAGGTGAAGTGTGACATCTGTAGCAACCCTGCTGTGAAATCTTGTCTGGACTGTGTCGCTTCATTCTGCGACGGTCACCTAGAGTCGCATTGTATAGCTTCTGATTTGAAGAGACACACGTTGGTTAATCCTTTGGTGGGTCTGGGGGACAAAGTCTGCAGGGATCATCACAGGCTGATGTTGCTGTTCTGCAGAAATGACAACTTGGTGCTTTGTGACCTTTGCGTCGGTTTGCACCATGCAAGCCACGACGTGGTTTCTGTGCAGAGGGGATATGACGATATGACGCATCAGCTGGGAAAAACTGAGGCCAAAGTGCGGCGAATGATTCAAGAAAGGACCCAGAAGGTCCAAAGCATGACAGAGTCACTAACAAAAAGCAAGACGGAGACAGAAGGGATGATAAAAGACGGCACACGCTATGTGAGCGAGTTGGTATCTGAGATTAAGAAGACCCAGGAGGAACTCGTCAAGGTGGCAGAGGAGAAGCAGAAAACGGTGGAGGAGCAAGCTAAAGGGTTGATTACAGACATGGAGAAGGAGATTTCCAGCTTGAAGGTGACTGCAAAGAAGCTGGGGGATCTAAAGGACATTGAAGATCAGGTGTGTTTTCTCAAGAGCTACCCGAACCAGTCCCTCCTGCCTCCCACCATGGACCTGTCCACATACAGCTTCAACAGACACCTGGCGGTGCAGCACATGCATAAAGCAGTTAGAAACTCGATATCAGACTTCCGGGCGCTTCTGGATAAGCTGAAGGAGGAAATTGACACATTCTCAAACAGCACAGATGCTTCAAACGAGGCGGCGCTCAAGTACATGCAGCAGTTTGAGGTGAACATCGTCCTGGATCATGACACGGCTCACCCCATGCTCAGCTTATCATTCGACGGGAAGCAAGTTTGGTACAACATGGGCACCAATCTGTGGGGGACCCAGATCCAGAAACCCAACATGTTCACTCAGCATCTAGCTGTTGTGGGACAGAGAGGCTTCTCTTCCTGCAGGTTTTACTTTGAGGTTTACGTCGGCCAGAAGACGGAATGGTGTCTGGGCGTGTCAACGGCATCGCTCCAAAAGAGCGGGGCTATAGTTCGAAGTCCTAGCTGCGGACTCTGGGCCATCTGGTTCCTGTTGGACAAGTTTGAAACTTTCACCTGCCCAGGCGTTCCGGTTTACGCGGGGAAAGTGGAGCGTGTAGGGGTTTTTGTTGACTATGATGGAGGTCAGGTGTCATTCTTTGATGTCGTGAGAGCAGCTCCCATTTACTCTTTTAATGGGTGTTTATTTACAGAGGAGCTGTATCCGTACTTTAATCCCTGTGATAATGAGTATGGTTCAAATCTGGATCCAATGTTAATTGTTCCCGTTTCCAGACAGAATGAGCAAAGTATTTAGACATCAGTTATTTGGCTTACTGTAGTGTGGGAATCAATGACGGCAACAAAACTGCATTTAAAAGAGCATATAAAGAATATTCCTAAATGCAAAGTTCCTCCTTTTTTTAATTATTAATTCTCTTCTCTTTTAATTCAAAATTTCTTTCATTTTTAAGCAAAAGGGGTTTTAAGAGTCAGCAAAAAAATATAAAGTAAAAAGTAAATATGTATAAAATTATTTTTTATTGAAATATTTCTCAAAAAACCTGCAAAAACCTCCAAAGTGCACGGAAATATGTATAAAATACAGTTTGCATGGAGACACTATCCAACGTTGCTATGGAGACCTTTTCCTCCATTTCACTTTGCACATATTTTCTACCCTTCCTGTTACCCTCTAAAACAATCCTATAAAGAAATATGCCTCTATGTCGTGAAATATTTTTATCCTAGAAAAACAACTCAGCTAAACTGTCACTGTGGTTAATCATTTTTATAGCCAATGTAAAACCATAGGAGGCAATTGTGTTGCTGTTTAACTACACAAAGTGTCGAGGTGTACAGATTTAAACTGATCATGAATACATGTTATTTTATGAGTTGTGTTTCTGGGCGTGCAGGTGAAACAGTGCTTAGTGCGCACGACCCATGCACAGAGGCCTTAGTCCTCAATGTGGCCGACCCAGGTTCGAATCCGACCCGTGGTCCTTTGCCGCATACTCTCTTTCTCATACCCCCTTTCCTGTCAGCCTGCTGTCGAAAAATCAAGCCACTGCTGCCGAAAAAAAACTCAAAAAAAAAAAAAAGTTGCATTTCTAGGCTCTGACCACATTGAGTGACATTTTTGAACACTTTTTAAATGGTCACCTTTATCAGTAAATGAAGCAAAATGCATTTGCAATATAATCGTAAATGAAATTAATCCAATTTTCAAATCGTAGAGGTGCGGAGGAGGATTTGGGCCACTGAACTTTTTTAAAGTTAACTGATTTTTAAATTTTATTTTAGTGTAATATGAGAAACAAGTCGAAATTCGGACTTTTTTTTCCCAGAATTTTGTATCTTAATGTAGATGGGCACCACTCACTGACAAGGATGAGTTGTTTGAGAGGGCCAGTAACACATTGGTGGTTTTTAACGGGCCTGAGGAGTCCCCGGTGATGCCATTTCATTAATAGAAGAGCAGAAGGTGATTAAAACACAAGAGCTAGTTTAGTCTTTAAAACAGACATGGCTACGGCTTAATGCTAACATGTTTGTTAGCTGTCAGAATTCTAAGAAAAAAGTCAGAATTCGGAGATTAAAGTCAGAATTCAGATTTTTTCCCCTCATATTAAATTGAAATAATATTAAAAAATCAGTTAACTTTTTTATTTTTTCAGTGGCCCTAATCCTCTTCCGTATAGAGGCACCGGTTTTTTATAATACTATACTCAACAAGAGTGAGACACCAGTTTTCCCATTTCGGGCCCTATGTGGCAGAAAGACATTTGTGGTGGGTTTGTCACATATGATGGTAGAGACAGTCACAGCTAGCATGCAGATCCATGCCACTGATCTCTATTTATTCACTGGATTGCTGCCGTTGGTACACGGTGCTGTGAGGTCACCAGCCACCATATTGGTACTCCTTAGTTTGACTGGTCAGAATGTAGACAATATGTGCGCTACAGTATTTAACAACAATGATCTTCTAATTTTTTAGGGGGGGCTTAAGACTTTTAAAATAAAAATAAATTCATCATTTTGACCCAAACTTACTGTTTTATAGCATCTGCAGATTACTGTATTTTATGGTGAAAAAATAGGCACATCACATTGCATGGTTAGTATGAAGTCTATCTAACATACAAAACCATCACAACAAAATTAAATGTGTTAATGGAGCATAATAATACTGAAATCAGATATTAAGAATATTACACACGCACACACTACCTGATTAAGTGTCAAAAGTGCTAAATTAATTATGTACATGTAATATGCAGGTATTGATTACATTGTTATGGTAATTATATTACATTAAAGGCATTTTTATGGTGTGACTTCGTGAAAGTGAGGAGTACCAAGGTGGCAGCAGGTGACTTTAGCAATGCAGTGAATAAATGGAGATCAGTGATCCATGCATGCAAAGGAGGAGGAACTTTTTCACACAAAGATTACAGTGAAGTCCTCCAATGGACTCACTTCAAAAACTAAAGACTGGAGTTAAACATCTGCAAGCTTGGGGTTGCAGTTTTGGTTAAAAATAATCGCAATTTTGTTTTTTGCCAAAATCATTCAGCCCTAGTCACTGTTATGTGGATATTTCTACAAACAGGACATGTAGAAAGCAAAGTATAAATAATAAAGTTAATATATAAGGGATTCTTACACCAAGCGATTTGTTACAATTTATTTTTAAGCTTTTTTTGTGTGTGTGTGTGTGTGTTTTTTTTTCTATAATAAAAATACCAGCTTTGTTTAATGTTTTTTACACAATTGACCAGGGCTCCAATATTTATCACCATCGGTTTACTCTCAAGTTCAACCAAAGAAAATAAGACTTTACAGAGTATTATCAAGATGCTGCAACTTTCTACTCAGATTCTAAGGAATATTGGACTTGAAGACCTAACAGCTTTAGAGTTAGGCCAATAAAAATAATATAACTTTGAAAGAAAAATACCTAGAATAGCAACCAAAGGGTTTAAGTGATAGAGTCATGAGGAGAGTGATAGGGATGTCTTGAGTATTTTTTTTTTGTTTTTTTGTTTTAACCATCTTGGGCAGCCATGGTGACCAGACAGAGGAACATTTGTAAATGCATAAAGACAGGATCACATGACTTTCAGTCCTAAGAGGATTTATTATGGGTTAATCTGAGACGCTATCGGTGAATTTCCCAGCATGTGGAGGACAGAAATGTAACAGGTCCCAACCAATCACTACAGAAAACTGGGGACAAAATACTAGAGAGAAACTGGAAATAATGCACCACAGACCACCTTCCCAGTTATGGTACGCCTAAAAGTCTGTCAGGTTTTGGTCTTGATGCATTCTCCAAGTCTAAAGACCCTTACCTACCATCTTGATTGTTTTTTTAGTGGGTATTCCTCAGTTCCCTTAGAATGTAAAGCTAAAGAAATTCATCAGAAAAGCTATAAACTGATTAAAACGCTTTTGCATGAACATTCACATAAAAGAAAAGCAGCTCCATAGTGTCGCCACAGAATAGTGGGACAAGGTTTCTTTTCAAACCAAACCTTGATGAAAAAGAAAATAAGAAAAATGAATGTTGAGGCAGAAAAAAAAAAAACATTCATCCCTTGAAGTTTTTATTCTCCGATTGTGAAGTTTTGGTCTTTGCATACGACTGTGGGCGTGAAATGGGGGAACATTCGATACCTTCAAAGATTATGATTTGATATACAGCTACTCTATATTTCTGTTTTTGCAAATCTTTGAGAATAGATTTTTAATTTTACGTGTTTTCCTCACATTATCCTGAAGGTATATCTAAGATATAACTGGATTAGGGGGCTTATGTCGAAAGGAAAACCCAACTTTTTAATTCACCAACTTTAAAACATAAAAAAAAAAAAACCTCCATAATGGCAGATTATCAAGCTGATAAATGGCATCAGTCTTTCCCAAAAGGCAGATTAGGCTGCAGATTCAGTCTTTTTTTTTTTTTTTTCTTATCTCAGTCCTCCAGTTCTGAAAATCCACATTTAGTGCAGCTTCAAAGAGAACGAAAAGACAAGAAAAGACAGTAGCTTCAAGTACTCCACATATAGTGCCTTTTTCAACACAAGTTAAATAATTTAGCACAAGCAAATGTAAATGTTTGCAAGCATGCATGTCTTTATTAATAATGGAACTTTATAAATGTGGAAGTTAACAATATTTAAAATATTAAAAGACATAACTCTGTAAATAGAGACTTTTTTTAATGTTAAATCTCAGAAGCATTTAGGCAGGTAAACTATTTTACCGTTAAATCTATATTTGTTATTTTTATTTTATAATCATTATTTATTTCTATGTTGTATTTTTACACTTTAACAATACATAAGCTCAACATAGAAAAATAAACAAATCTTTCGGGTTCCTATGGATCATGTGGTATTGGAGGATTTTAATTTTCATTCTGCAGTTTTTATTTTGTGACATTAAGCACTAGAGTTAAAAAAAAAAACTCAGTTGGCATTGATTTGATCTAATTTGGTTAGACAGATTAAAATTCATTTAATTTAAACATCATTTTTGATTCTTCAAGATACTTTAAAACAGGCAGAAAATGTGTTAAACTAGCTTGATTTTTAAGGATCCTCAGCTGTTTGAGGATTTTTAAATGTTTATTTCAAATTGAACTAAAGTATCAATTTACATAAAGAGAAATACTGATTATATATAGCTGTTACTAAAAATAAGTTTGTGAGTTTTTGCTCTCTTTTAGTTTACAGAAAATACTTTAAATAAAAGTTTCAAAAATGCAACATGAATCATTCAAAAGTTGCATTTATGTAAAGATAATTCACTCGTAATTTCTTAATTTAATCACAGATGAATACATATGTTCTGCCTCTTCTTCTGCCTGTTTTTTTGCCTGGTTTGTTAGAGAACATTATGGAACAAATAGCATCTTATAAAAACCAAGGACCACAGCAGTTAGTCAGAGAAAACCATTGAAAAGCTTAAAGCAAAGTTAACAGGTTGACTCTGGAGGAGCTGCAGAGATGCACGGCTCATGTGTAAAACATTTTATTACTGTCTATGAGCGAACCTCTGGAGGAAGAATAATAGTTAACATAAGTAACACACTATCCTGAGGGTAAAACAGAAAGATAATAGCAATTTTGAATTGAAAATATACTCAAAATCCAACGTTTTTGTGTATAAATATATATGAAACGATCAGATATAGTGTGATTTATCATTATTGTGACAATAACTGTGATACATATTATATAACGATAATAAAATCTTAACTACTTATATCTAAAGAAAAAGAAAAAAACTCAAAAACTGACACTATTTTGGGTTTTTTATGAAAGTACGGTTTAGGAAATATAATCTTGTATATAAATATTTCCAAAGCAGTAGCTGTTTTTTTTTTTTTTTTTTTTGGACTTTGCACATGAAGGGACAGAGTGTTGGTAAAAAGATGATGATTAATGGGTCTTAAGATACTTTTTGTCATCACTCTTATTATTCTTGGAATGAAAGCCATAAA